TCCTGAATTAAGCCGTTTGATCTCATTTTCAATTACAAATAGTTATATTAATCGACTACTTGGTCGTTTAGAGTACATGCATCAAATTACTTGCTTAAATTTATCGAATAATGCTTTTGGTACAGAATGGCAAGATCCTCTAGCRTTGGAAAATCTTAAAATGTTAGCTATGTTAGATTTTTCCAATGTAAATATATCAAGTTTACCTACCATAAAAAGTCAAGTGCCGATGTTTTGGTTGGACGTTTCAAGTAATTAAGCTCATCAATTCATGTAAAAATTAAAACTGTTTTAAACTTTTTATTTGTCTAATATTTTTTAGATAACGTAAAAATTCATTGTGCAAGTCTTCTAGATCTTATGGAAAGATCAAGAAATGCCAAGTACAAATTGTATTTTAAAAAATATAATGAAACATTTTGTATGTCATCACTGTCATTTCACTGGTTCAATTCCACTGAGAAGGTTGCATTAAATCAAGTAGAAATTATTAACAAGGTAATATTAGTTCTTAAATATTTAAATTTTTAATCAACAAAGTATAAGAATTACCTTTTTAATTTCTGTTAATAATTTAGTTATACGAAGATTGTCCATTGAATTGTAGTTGTAAGTGGCATGGTATAGAAATGGTACAAGAAACAAAGACACTACATACCGTAGAAGTAGATTGTTCAAATAAACAACTTTCAAGTTTACCGGAAAACYTACCAGAAAACACTGTGTTATTAAATGTCACTAACAATAATGTAAAAAATTGCAAATATTTAAAATTTAAATAATATATTTTTGAGTGTTACTGTTTTATAGATCACCAATATAGATGTATTAGTAACAGATCAAACTTACAAAACTTTGAGATTTTTTTATGCTGATGAAAATAAAATATCTAACCTTTTGTCATTGGAAGGTTCAACTTTTATAGAAAACTATGCTGTTCTGAGTTTGAAACTAAATCAATTGAAAACAGTAAGTATAGTTCCATTACAATAATAATTATATGTTAACAACTTACTGACTTTTGATTTTGAGTGATGAATTTATTGGTTATACAAATGATGTGTGTTGTTTTTTGTTTCCAAAATTAGGATCAATAAAAATGTTTCAATCTTCTGTGTTAAAGTGTGGTTTCTGCTAGAAAATGGCWTCTAGTTGATAATTTTTATCCTAGGTCAAAAAGCTAGAACAATTTTTTCAGTTCTTAACTATAAACTAACTAACTAACTTAAATAAATTTAAATACACCAGCACATTTTTTTTATAGACATCTCAAGTCAGGCATATAGCTAGGGTTATACAATTAGGGTGGCTTAATTATTTCCAAGATTTTTTTTTGAGTTCCCACATTAAGCACTATTTAAATTTAGTAGTATATTTATATTTTTATAGAATAATTTTATTTTTTTGTTGATACATATTTAATGTGTTTGGTATCATTTTAATTTCTGATTTTAGTAGTTCTGTAACCAATTTATAATGTTGTGATAAAAGTTTTAGGTCATCATAGCTCTGAAATTTGACATTTGTCAAAAGTAGGTAATCAATGGCATATAAAAAAGATATAAAGTACTGAATTTATAAAAAACTTTTTTCTAACTTGTTAATAATTTTTTCAAAGACAATATTGTTACTTTTCAATATAATATGTTAAATTAAAAGTAAATAATTTCACAATAATAAGTAATAATATTACTAAAAACTGCACACACTTTTCCAGTTGTAATAAAATAAATTGTATTCTATATAATATTATAGCATAGTTGATAATAGTTGGAAATCATTRATAATATTACGCATAATACTCATAATGTTGAGTTGGGAAATGCCAAATTACTGAWATAGGAATGCAGGTTCATGCGACTTGATAATAATAATTATAGATGCATTTTGTCCTATGTTTATATCATTATATGACAAATTGAAAGAGTATTTAAGAACAATATTATATACTTACTCTGAGTTCTGACAATCTAACCATTCTGTCTGAAAATTAAATTGCACCTAATGTGATAAATTTCAAGTTTTTATATTTTCATATTTAYTTTATTACAATGAATTAAATGTTTTTTCATTATGATATTTATTTTTTAATTGTCATGAGAACATAGCGTTTAAGATTATTATGTATTAATAACAAATATTATAGTAGAAATTTTTAAGTATGGTTTAAATTTTTTACTCAATAATACATATTATGATCGTTAGGGCTTGGAATTATATGCACTAAAAATGTATGAAATATGCATGCATATATTATGTACTGATTTTCATTCAAATATGCATAAATATGTRAACAMAAATGTGTTTTAATTAAATTKATTTAGTTTAAATTGTATATAATTCATTAAATGATTAATATAGAACAAAAAAATGTATAAATGCCTAGTTGATATAATTTAATTGTATTTTGTATGATGTATTTAATTGTATGTTGCATTTTGAACATTCACTCATCTAAGAAACTCGTGAACAAAAATCAATTAAAACAAAATTAGTATATTTTTATAATACAATATTTCAAAGTTACCTGAAGTATTATAGTTAACTACTAAAGACTTGGATAAATTTTCAAATAAAAATGCATATTGATTTTTAGCAAAGTTTTTTTTCCCCTCATTTGCAGGTTTTACGTATGACATAGCATTAAGTCTTAGTATTAATAACTTAATACTATTTTTTCATAAATATGAATTTATATTTCAAAAAAATGGTTAAATATGCATAAAAACTAAAAATGTTCCAAATATGCARTATTTAATTTTGCATACCAACACATTAGGTTAAGATTCAAATTTGTGTCTTACCCTAGTTACTTTTTAATTTTAYAAATGAAATATGCAAATGCATACAATTCCAGACCCTAATGATCATTATTTTAGCTTTGGGTATTTCACAACTTCATAGGGTGGCTAGGCCTTCCCTCAGCCTTAGTTAAGTTGAATATTTTAACTATACAAATTTAATAAATAAACWATAATTTTTCCATTAATTGTTTTTAGTGATTTTGTTGTAATTTAAAAATTATTAATCATAAGGACTTTGAAACTTT